TTGCGAACACATTTTTTCACGAACAGCTCTGTTGACCGTGACTGCACCTGACTACGTGAGTACCCCCAAAATATGCTATTGATATAAAGTCCCCCTTTCGGGATTAAAACGACAGAATAATGATAACCTCTTCTGAAAGCGAGGGAGATATTAAATACAACGAGCTTATTTTGACCTGCATTATTTCTGGATTATGTTGTCGTAAACACAAGTTGATTCTATCAACTGCTGCCAATGTTGAAGTGGTTTTTAGTTTTTCTATTATTGTATGACGGTATATTATTTGTTATCGCCATGTAAAATAAAAGTATATGAACCGGCACACACGAGCGGCTCCAAAAGTGAGTGTACCGCTAAGCGCTCTGATTTGTACAGATTGTCTGTTGTTGGTTTTTTTTTTTTATTATTATTTCTTCTATCTCAACTTTCTTCTATCTTTTGTGTGCATAGATATTTTTCCTATCAGTGATCTTGAATCTATTTTTTCTTCGCCGACCGTGACACCCACAATGTCAAAATGGCCACTTCTCGCCCGGTGACTTTTTAGGTACTACACATCGACTGCCGCCTTTTAAAGGCGATGGTTGTGTAGATGTACACACGATAGTATAAACACCTCGAAGTAAAAATAAATGTTATTCAAGAAGTTGATAATGTCATATATCATTTGCGAGCTGAAAATAATTTTAAATAATTATTTAGGAATAGACCATGTGAACTCATCCGGGTGGGTTGAAGATGTGTTAAACAAATTGCGAGCTAGACACACAGACAAAAACGCATGCAAAGAGTTGCAGGTACTAAAAACTGATGGACTGATAAGACCCCGAGAACAAAAATGCACTGGTTCCACTCTTCCAACCACCCTATGATCATGTCGAATTCTTCCGATTTGTTTCCGCTACACTACGCGTTTAGTGGTTTCCACAATTGTTTTTGGCAAACCTATGGTAGACTGTCAACAATCTGTCGTATCTAATATTAATCTATTATTATTAATAAATATCGTGTATAAACATAATGTGCGTGAAAAATTGCGAACATCGGGACAGGAAGTATGGAGCGCCGTCTCGGAGACCCGTGGCAACAAAAAGGTTCCTCCGAGGAAGTTTACATGAACGTAATCCGGGGAAGTAGTATCACGTGATCGTATTGGCCTGTTGCTGTACAAGCGAAACTCGTATAAAAAATATAAAATATATTTTTATAATCACACCCAGTTGCATTTTATGTTTGAAAAAAATACCTAAACACCTTTTTAGCTATCGATTTCGTCGTTCGCTATTTTTTTCCCAAACTTCCCCGGCTTTGCAAGCAGAGGCGGTAAAAACTGCCAGAGTCACATAGCACTGGCAGTCGAACGAAAACTGGGCAGACTTGAGGCGCCTCATGTCACCCGGCCACGACGCGAGCGGTGTAAACTTCTTCCTCGGGGAACCCTTTCGTTGCCACGGGTCATTACTGCCGTCACTTAGGGCACCCCGAAGGAGCAACGCGAACGCACTCCAAGGGTCACTACTCACTCGGGCACCCTGAGGTGGCAACACGAACGCACTCCTAGCCACCCCAGTACATAATGGTACACCCCAACCCCTCATCATTTTGATATTTATTTAATATCTGAATTGACTGCTAAATACTCGCTTGAAAAGCGAGAGAATAAACAAACAAAAAATTCCAATGCAGCTGAAATAATATTCCTACTTCAACTTGCAATGAAAAACAGAGCATTCTTACCACACCCTTCGATACCCTCAGGATAAAATGGTTCGACCTATATCCCGTATCGATGGCGTGTTTTCTCTCACGTTCGCAGCCATACAGCCTTCCGAGTTAGAATCCCTATTTTGCAACAACGTACCACAATCGCGTCAAAATACCATTCTGTCATTCGTCCTTGCGCGGCCTATCGCCCGGTATCCCTTATTTGCATATACTTTGTCATAAATACTGAAGTCGTCTGCAAATCGTCATCATTCTTCAGTAGTTATTGTAATTCTGAACGATGCCTCCGAAATCATCTCCAAGGAAGTCGCCGACCAAATCTGGCAAAGGTTTGAAAGGAGCGAAGAAAGGGGCGAAGTCGAGAGGTCGTGGTGGTGCTGCACAAAAGAGAAGGCGCAGACGGCGAGAATCGTATGGTATCTACATCTACAAGGTATTGAAACAGGTTCACCCCGATACTGGCATCTCGTCTAAAGCCATGTCTATAATGAACAGCTTCGTGAATGATGTCTTTGAGCGTATCGCTTCTGAAGCTTCCCGACTGGCTCACTACAACAAGCGGAGTACCATCACTAGCAGAGAAATCCAGACATCTGTTCGTCTGATTCTACCTGGTGAGCTTGCCAAGCACGCTGTCAGTGAAGGCACAAAGGCAGTCACCAAGTACACCAGCTCCAGATAAATCGTGTGCCAAGCATACACAAACCAAACGGCCCTTTTCAGGGCCACCACATCCTCCAAAAAAAGAATACCGTACTGTTTGTGTTTACCTCATACATGTATTATCGAGTGTCATACATAGCATCATTGTTAATTCTTGTATTGCTGCCAGTGCAATTGTATAAAAGAACGACTGTTCGAACACTAGTTACCATGGAAGGCCGAGTGTTGCAATATTCATTATTACTCTACATTTATATTCATAATTATTAATACAAATTTGGTTTTATGAAATTTACATTTAATATATTCGTAATTTCTTCACATTTGTATCTATGTGTGGTGTGTCAATTAAAATATGAACAATTAAATTTAAAATATAAGAAACTGATGTTAAAATATGAACATTTAAAATATAAGGAGTTACATTTAATTTATCACCATTCAGTTTATTCTTATTTCAAAACCACAAGTTTGTACATAGCGCTCAGGTGGCGCTCTTCCGCACATACGCAAATGAGCATGAAGTAATAACCGTGTCACTGTGTTGGCTGATTGTACGGTGCGCACTATGCAACTGAAGGAGCCGTACACAATCGTCCCAAAGTTTATTTTTCTCACATCGAAAGACTCGGCGGTCTTGAATCGCGAGTCACCGTCAGTTGGACCATTTTATGACAATGCGCTGACACAATAGAGTACGATTTGAGAGACATTCGTGGGCGAAAGTTCTGTTTCAGTGAGTGGATACCTGTGACTTTATTTACTGCCCCGTATCCCTGTATGCCCGAGACAGCAATTTTCAGTTTGGGCTGCCCGGTGGTCTGGTAACATTTTGTTCATGGTATGCTTTTTATTTGACGGAACTATGTATTAGTGCTGCAGTAAACATTATTCAGACTTTCGTTCCTATCTCTAATTACTAGTAAATAGAGTTGTTTAATATGCTTGAAAATGGAGGGGGCATTGTAAACTGATGTATAATTAACTTTCAGGCAGGGCTTATGGTGAAATTTTAAACACTGATGTCAGAATGCTTGTGATTTTTTGATCAGTTCCGCGTTTTAATAAAATAATATCGCATCTATCGGACTATCGATTTTACACTATCGTCTAATTCACCACGCTTTAGAACATTTTTTTAGAAATATTTGGAAAACCACCCTGGCATTGGTAAAATGAACGCTAGCATTGGTACTAGGCGAGATTAAACGATACTGTATCCGTCGTAAGTTTTGGAGATTTAAAATAATAAGGCCCTTGGAAACAACATCTGCCTAGTATCGGCATATTACTACCATCCTTTATTTTCAAACAGCCTTTCACATTTCATTTGGTCTGTGGTTTGTATCGGGGATTTTTACCTCAAAGGGAACGGCACTCTAAACTCACTCGGGAATATAAATGTATATATGAAATAGTTTATTGTTGTTATTAGTATTGCAGCGTTAATATAGCAAAACGGGGTAATCTGTAACGCCGTGCTATGTGCGAACGTGAGAGGCAACACCACATATTTGTTGTTAACCAATCACATTGTGCTATATTTGTATCAAAGTTTCTTCTATGTTATGTTCACATAGTTCAAATAAACCGCTAGTTACATACTTTAAGTACGCGTATCGTGTCTGACTGATAGACATCTGGTTATAAATATACAGCTCCCCACAGAGGGCTCACTCACTCATGATTGATATTGGTGACTATAGAGAATATACCGGTATTATTATTTAACCCGCACATGTGGTTCATTCTTTGGCCTGGTGTGCGAAATAACCTTGCGAAAATTTGATAGATTACTCGGGAATAATTGGGCAACATGTAACTATCATTATTATATTGCAATATTTAATAAGAGGTGGATTATTAGAAACTGAGAGACGTAATGTCAGAAAAATTGTGCAATTTTTTTTCCTTCACTTAGTTTTTTTACCATTTTTTAATTTCCATGATGAATTTACTACAATTTTTTTATACACTATGTGGAATACTTTTTTTTTCTAAGATTTAATGCGTGCATTTTTTTTCTGTTATTGATCCCTGCCGGATTTTTTTTCCAGGAATTTTTCCTGTGCAATTTATTGTTTCCGAATTCTGCCATCGCCCACATAATTTCTAATAGTCAAGATAAGTAAAAGGAAATCGAGAAACACAAATGGAGATTTTACAAACACAAATAGGGGTTTTATGAACACGTGACAAATGAAAGTTTAACGAATACAAATGGAGATTTTACAAATACAAATAAGGTTTTTATGAACACAAATGAGTTTCTATGAACACAAATGGAGGTTTTACAAATATGAAGATTTAATTCATAAATATAAATGTAAATTCTCGCACACAAATATTTTTAATACTGATTTTGAATTGTCGGTCTCTCTCCTCCACGTATATAGTACTGTTGCTGTTCATATTAGTTACACCTCAGACAAGCAATATTACATGTCTGAGCTTACACTGCCATCAACTGTAAGTATTGCTATCAATTTGATGCTGGGGCTCACCAGGCCCCAGCTGGTGTAAAAAGAGATAATAAATGCGATTAATTTACCCATATTTACTATACAGTGGCAGCCATTTTGAATACGACATGAAATTAAATAAAGAGACTCTAACTTTATTTCCGAACAAGCCCCAAAACAGCTACTCAAGAACAAAAACCACATACTCCACATTCGAGGATTTATTTGAAGCGGGGAGTCGTCACCTGCGCATGCGTCACGTCAGATGGCTATAGCGTGTCATTGTTTACAAACAAACTTCTTTCTATGAGCCTTTGCGTTTCAGCGTGTGTTGTTATCGTCGCTTGGGACTCAATTCCCACGCGTGTGCTGGTGATGACCCTCCCACTTTAAAATATGCATTACTTCCCAACACATTCTTTAAGGATTATTAAGCTAAACTCGTCTTGCGTAACTAAGCTAAGTCATCTACATAGAATGTGGAAAAAGATTGACTATCACCAGATTGTGGGATATGTTAGATAACATTCTAATTGTATTATTATGAACTATTCGAATTCGATGAAAGCCTGCTCTATTAAATCTGACCATAGATGACTACAATACAAATTGGAGCAATAGCTACAGTTAACGTTAAGAGAACATTATCAAAGAGCCGTACCCACAAAATAGCTCTAGTATTAATTCCGTGTATAACTGTTTTCTAATGCTCGTAATCTAAATAACAGTATTCATTTACAAATTTCAGGAGTACAAGATCGTCTGCATAAAATTAAAACTCAGCTCAGCTACATGCAAATTAAATGATTAACAATTAATTCAGATTTTTGGTCATTTTTGGTTTTATAACTTTAGAATGCGATCACTAAGTTTATTCAAATACAGATGCAAGCTGATTTTCTGCTGCACTGCAGAATCCTGCTTATAGTGAAAGTTCGAGTTACCAAATGCAGACGTTCAACAAAAACAAAAATATATTTTGCCCGTAAATTGAAGTTCTATTAATTGTTAATTGGACATCGAGTTACAATTTGGTTTCCAAAATATGGGCATCTCAATAAATTGGCACATTTCAGCTGTTTCGTGAATATTCCATAAATCATTTTTTTAAATTTCAAACTTGATACATGGGTGCACCACAGAGTTGCTTGTCCGGGGGTTGAAATGTTGTATACTCATTACCTAGTTTAGAAATTTGTAGTTGTTTCACATATATATCTCGAGTATCGTTCCTCATTAGATTTCAATAAAACTTGGTACATAGGTGCTCTGATCTTAAATTTGTAATACATTTATAATATTCCCTATTTGTACTTCATACCTTTAGCACCGTGATACGGGAGCTCTTTCTGGGCTTTCTTAAATAATAGGATGTATATAGAATAGTGACGAACCACACAAATTGAAATTAGACAGATTCAAAAATAAAGTTGGATAATAATATCAGCCGAGAGAATGTTTAAAACTCACTCGGGTCGGTATGAGCAGTTCGCTTTCCCTGTTTTTTTTTAACCTAACGAAAGCAAGCAATCTGATCAAAATCCGATACAGGTATGAGGCTCCATTTGTTTTCTTAATGACCCTTTATAGAATATTTATTTGTATTTTAGTTTAGAATATGTCGATTTTTTGTTTTTTTCGTGCCAGATTGGAACGCAAAATACCGAGGTTGTTTAGCTGTGATATTCGACCAAATAACCCGTTGTTCAAGTTGAATTTCAACCGTTGAAGGAATTCAATCCGTCAATGAGTGGCATCCTTAAAACGAGTTGAACGGATTCGTCATGTTGAACTTCTTCTTCGTAAATTTGAATATAACCCAGTCTTTCGAACACGTCATTGGGACAGTTGTCTTGTACGATCTGAGTTGTATTGAATGGTAAAGTATAACGCCACTTAACAGAATTACCCGGTAATGCCTTCTGGCTGCTCAATAAAATGCCGCTTATATTGTCGTTCAACGGGATACCAATAAAATTATAGAGTTGGGGCACCACCTCGCGCGGTCTTTCTGACAAGTCCTCGTATCTGACTATAAAATAATTGCTCCGGAACCAGTCCGGGCCTTTGGTAGCAGCATCCATATTTGTTTTCAGCCAATCACAGTAGACCCTTGTTATTACATCAGTTCTGTTGCGTAACCCTTTTGAGTTTATCATTCCACGTGGATCACGTACAATTTGTATGACTTTGACATCGTATTTTTTCAATGTACGCAGGCCGTTCGTTATGTCATTGACTCGCACTGTTTTGACTACCTTATGTCGTTTGGCTCTGCACATTTTCGTTAGAATTTCAAATGTCATTCCCTTTGCGGATGCGTGTTCAAACTCGCTAAGGAAAGCCATCCACTTGACTCTGCGAATAAACCGAATTAAATCCGGAGAACGTGTGAAGTTGCATTCAAAAAAACATTCAAGGAGATCGTAGAACGGCAACTGAAGTTTTTCCACGTGTTCGGCACTGTCATTTAAACGGTCAAATGGTAGCCTCAAGCTTTGCTCGGGTTCATACAGATACATGAAATCGGGATGGTGTGAAAAATATCGACCAATCAAAGAAGAGCCAGTCCGCATCCTGCCGTTCACCAACACGTGGACTGATTTATCCGCCAATGTACCCGGATCAGGATCTTCCCTCTGTTGGAGATCGTAATTAGATATTAATTCGCTCATACTCATACTGTGGTTTCCATAGTTACGATGCACGGCGATGTACAGTACAACTAAAAAAGTTGAAAATCCTAAAAACGTCAGATGAAGTTTCTTCATTGTACGTGGAGGTCCTGTCAATGAAATAGAAGACAGAATGTAATTGTAATGTAATTTTATATTACCACTGAACAAAATCACTCAACTTAATTAAATATCTACAATACCATTTTTCATATTTAAATTTCATTTGAACTATCGCGAAATTCCAAAAATTGTAACCCGTGTGCGCCGTAAAATCAACTGTGATCGATTCTACAAATTGCTGACGTAACCAAACATAATATAAGGCGATCCAGTAACTTGCAAAGCTGTTTTCAGACATGGCGGATAGACTAGCCGTCTAGCGACGAAACGTTTCTGTGACGTCAAAATGACATAAATGGGCGAGAGTAATTTAGCTCAAAACGACGACTGTGTTTCATTGGCGCAACTTGCAGGAATGTCGTATTTATCGTGATATTCTTATGCTTTCATTCTATTTTTTGGTATATAAAACTGTGCAAGTCATTTATTCTCCCGTTATCATTCTTTACAAAAATTACAGATTTGACGGAATGTATTTCACAAACATTTAATTTGTAGTATACCAAAACGACCAAACATGGTGTATACGTGTAATTCAACAAACGCATGCAACCGCACATCCTCGGCTGTAATAATTGAACATTATGAACCACCACAGTCCGTGTACAGAACTGTGCACCCACGTATAATTATGTTCAGACATGACACAAAAAAGAAAATCATTTACACACAAGAACCACGATAAAACAGACACAAACTGAATAGGGCCAGGCTGACTCTGTCGATGTTGTGTCCTAGTCGATAAAAACAGCAGGACAGTTGTGTATAAATTTTTGTATTCAACGTCGTAGCCACGGTCAGGAAAGAGCAGTCTCGGGACTCATTCATATTTTTTAATACGAAGCCTCTGAAAGCACTGTCTCGGTATCGAGCAGGTGATTGAACTGAAACTTAGAAAATGAGTAATAGTACCAAGTTGAGTTAAACATTTAGTACATACTCACCTTCTCAATCAGACATGCCAAACATTGCACACGAGGTTCTTGGTACAAGACACATCCAGAAACATACGTACGGTCTAAACTATATTTCCATAATGATAGTCGGTGGCGGCGTGATATGATATTGAATCAGTAGTCACCATAGGACCTACTGCTATATTACTTTATCCTTTGATGGAGGTAGAAAACTACCTCCATGATCCTTTGAAGCAGCAAGGCGTAAACAAAGTCATATTTCATATTAAAATGACTAACCCCCATGAAAAACTGGGCTATTTTAACCCATAGAGGCAATGGTCCGGGTATCCAATATTAAAAAAAATATCTTGAAAAAGAGTGGTTTGTCTATTTAAAAACAGCATCGTCAAATCAATAGGTATTTAATTTGACTCAGCTGACTATTCACTCTAAATGTATTGGTCTGCCATTTCAAAACCGATTTTCAAAAATCACAAATCTAATGCTTTTATTTTGGTAACATATATTATATAACAGAAATACAAGCATGCCGTTTGTCGCAAAATGTAACAAAATGTGACCCGGCGCTTTGATACCAATTTCAGCTGTGTTGTCATAGTGATTTTCAACTGACACTCCCGTACTATTCAAGGCGATATTAAAATATGAAATGATTATTATTATACATCTGTCACTTTAACGCCATAACTTACAGCGTGCCATAATTTTGCGGTATTGCTCTGGGTATTTTGATCGTACCATATTAGGAAATGCGAAATCCAAATATGGAGCGATTACGCGCGTGAGCGTTTTCTAATAATAAAAACAAGCCATGCATGGCACAGTCCCCGTTAGTTATCAAATTTAAGATATATAGTTTTGTTTATAGTAATATAGCTGGAATATAACCATGTCAGGAATATGATTTTTTAACATTAAAATGATTGACATTTGTATCTGATCGTCAAAAAAGTACTTGTCCATATTGAGAGATATTGCTTTGGAACAGCATTCAGAATCAGCCATTTTGAATACATGTATATATATATATATATATATATAACATGATGTATAACGAATATATAAAATTTGAATATAATCAGTGAAAGCATTTAAGAGATATGGCTCTAGAAGCCCAATCATTAAAACAAAACGGCCACCAGACAGCCATTTTGAATCCGATCTGAAAAATAAATGATGTGCATCAGGAACCTGTAATGTCTAACATATGTACCAAGTTTGAACGAAATCCATCCATAAATGCTTGATATTTGATGATTTTTAAGCACAAAAATGGCCACCATTTGGCCATTTTGAATAGGATCGTCAAACCAATATATCTGTCTATCCATGACATGATGTACAATGAATATTTAAAATTTGAACATAATCAGTGAAAGCAAGTCAGAGATATGGCACGAGAACCACATTCATTAAAACAAAATAGCTGCCAGTCGGCCATTTTGAATCTTATATAAAAAAACAAAATTATTTGCATCAAGGTCCCATAATGTCTAATGTATATACCAAGTTTGAACAAAATCCATCTGTAAACAGCCGAGAAATGCTTGATTTTGATGATTTTTTAGCACAAAAATGGCCGCCATTCGTTCGGCCATCTTGAATCAGATCGTAAAACAAAATAATGTGCAGCAAGGTCCTATAATGTCTAATGTATATACCAAGTTAGAACAAAATCCATCAGTTAACAGCCGAGAAATGCTTGTTTGAGAAAATCTTGAATCAGATCGTGAAACAAATTGACGTGCATATGTATACTATCATGTATGATGTATGTGTGAAGTTTGATTGTGATTGGTCCAGGCATTTCTAAGATACAGGTCCGGACGCACGCACAGACGCACGCATGCACGCACGCACACACACACACACACACGCACGGACACACGAAGGTCAAAACATAAGTCCCCGTTTTCGGACTGCGTCCGAACAGGGACTAACAAACATGACAGCCCCATGCAAGTTTTGACCAGACTCCACACAAAGAAGTTCGCTAAATCTGTTCTATACTTTTTGGATTTCGGCATTCCCATGATGTATCTTTGGGAGAGAAAGATGTATAATAAGGTTATTACGAGGATACCTCAAAGTATGCACTCAGACAGTACGCCTTCACATCAACCTCCGCTGCACATCGATCGATACTTTCGCTGTACTGTATTCGTGCACACTTTTCGGTATCCTTGTAATAACCTCATATTATATTAGGGTGGTTGGGGGGACCCAAAGTCTATGGTGAGTATGAACTATGTGAATAGGCGGGTTCAGAGAACCCTCTGCCTAAATTCACTATGTTCAATTACCCACCATAGACTCTGGTCAGTCAAAATGACTATTTTAAACTGTAGGCAGAGTCAGATGCCGATAGGTGGCGGGTTTTCCGAGCAAACAGAAAAATTATGAAAGTCTCTTCCCAGTCCAGGATGCAACACTCTACAACAATCACTCAAAACCTTAGTTAACACCCAAAAAGGGTGGTATCTTACCTTACTTGTGCTGTCCTCGGAGCAAGAAGCCAAATGGCTGCTGCGGTGACAGGGTTCGGTGTGTCCGAGAAAGCTAGCCCTAAACCCAATTCCGGGGTAGTATGCTTTTGAAGTGAAGACCGAAACAGTTCTGCATGAGGGCATAGGTCGAAAGCAAAACCTGGGAACTTCCAGGGAGTGCTGTTATAGAAATGCTGAGACTGACTTATCGCCTATGCGCAGGGACCCTTGTGGTCGTTTGGGCTGGGTCAGCAAACCAAGTCTGACCCACTATGACAGGACCCAACTTGAAGAGACCGTCCTCAATGGTTTGGGTGTCTCTTAGGTAGTAGTTGATAAAGACGTTCTGCGTTCGTCAGAAGCCTGCCCTTAGTGTGTGCTCGGGGGGGGGGGGGGCTAATGCTACACTAGCGAGTTACAATCGCACAAACTGCATGCGCTCGTAGTTGGTGTCTCTGCAAGCTCTGTCAGGAAGTTTAAAGTATTATAAACCTCTAATACAGTCTCAGTAATCCACCTGGTGATGGAAGTTGGGGAGGCCGGCCTATCCTGCTTGCCTGTGCCGTAACACAAAGGCATGTGCCTGGCACCCTATCCTGAATCCTTAGTATGGTTTTGGTAGCAACTCCGTGCTTGAACCGGGCAGAGAAGCAATTCCACCTGATCCTCCGGGCCGACAATATTTGACAACCGGGGGATGATGATCGGTTGAGGATCGTGTCCTGGGATTTGGTTCTTGGCGAGAAACCCGATATGTGTCTTTAGTACAACTTGATCGTCCATAAAGGTGGCGCACCCGTCCGAGAAAGACAGTGTGCCTAGTTCTGATCGATGCCTACCTGAGGCGAGGACCAGTAGACTATTTTACACGTAAAAAATTTGAGTGGTGCTGAACGGAGAGGCTCAAAGGGCGGTCTGCTTAGAGCGGACAACAACAACCGACAAATCCCAGTTGGGCGGTTCCCTTGTATGGGGTCTCGGTGTCTGAAAAGCAGTAATAATAGGAAAATCGGCTAGTTTTGTTCCAGAAACAATCTCAATGGTGGGGGACAAGGCCGACCTGAAGCCAACAATAGCTGCGTAGGACAAATCCACTTCGTCAAACAAGCGGACGAAGGAGTCTGCTACCTGGCCAATAGAGGAATGGTATGGATCAATCTCCCTTCTGCTACACCAATCAGTGTATGCTCGCAACCTAGAACTGTAGGCTACGTTGGTGGAATCCCTGTTCGTGGGCGGTTAACTCCACATTGGATTCCAGGCACCAAAAGAGAATTTGCTCCGCTAGGACTGACAATGATGGAAACCACCGCTGCATTGCCTGTGCGAAGCAGGACTCTGTGGTCTCGAACTACGGGTAGAAAGTGTGGTAATGCTAAGTGCACTGCTTTCAGTTCGAGCCGGTTGATATGGTGGGCCATATCCTTGGGCTTGTTCGTCCAATAGGTGCGCTCCCCAACCTTCGAGGGAGGCATCTGTTACCAGAGTCATACCTGCTGCGAGTGGGTCCAAGGAGGCCCCCTGTATGAGGTTGGCCAGTGACGACCACCAGGGCAGGGCTTCCTTCACTTGGTCCGAGACCAAAACCTGCCTATCTAGTTCCATAGGAGAGCTTGGCGTTGTAACAACAAGGGTTGTACCGGGCGGCTGTGTAGTGCGGCCTGGGGAACCACCCTTCGAACCGAGGTCATCATTCTGATGATCCGCATTAGTTCTCGGAGGAACACTGAGGGAACGCTGACTAGGCATTCGGCTAGGCTGCTTAGCGCTAAGCAACACGCTTGAAATAGCTATACCAAGCCTACCTCTGTGTCAAACTCCATGCCCAGTAACACCAACTGTGCGTTGGGTCGAGATGGGACTTGTCGATTTACTAAAGAGCCCAACTGGTGAAGTAAATCCTGTGTTAGCCTGACGTGTTTGGCTAATAACCCCTTGTCCAGGTTGTGTAGTAACCAGTCGTCTAGGTACGGATTGGGGTTTACCGACATTTGGTGAAGGAGCAGCACTACCTGTTTCATCACTCTGGTGAACACATAGGGCTCTGTGCATAACCTGGGCGATTGGAAGGAGATGGCAACTCGCTGGGTGCATCGGTATGTGCAGGTAGGCCCCGCTTAAGTCTAGTGTCGCCTGGTCTAAGAGGCTGGTGTGTTCTGCCTCTGAGGTCTCAGGGTCCTGGGCGTGCACAATGCGCTCAAGCAACTCTGCCTCAGATTGAGCTGGCGAGAATGCCCATGGATCCCCCTTTACCCGGGTTGCCAAGCGGAAATTTGTGGTACCAGGGTCTGGGAAAGGAGCCTTGGGATTCGGTTGGGGGTGTTTTGGTCTCATCCCACATCCCATGGGGTCTGATCCCGAAACCACACCAAACAGGTAGCGTTTGGTCCAGCGGAAAGTGTTGCATAAGATTTTACCCCACCCAGGGGCCTTAAGCGTTACCTCCTCCGCAGCTGACCAACGTCCGCCCATCAACACCGCCCTGCACCCCACTCGAATGAACAGAAAGAGACGTGCCAACGGGGTTGATTTGGATCCCGACGCCCGTGATCCCATAAGCGTTGAAGCAACCGTAAGTGGTCGCCTTGGGATCAACGGCGAGGGTATTTACATTGTATCACTAGGATCGTTGATATTCCGAATCACCCCAAAGGCGTGGCCCACCGAGTCGTTACACATGGAAGACTCTGAGGGACCGCCCTAGGTACTGGCTGTATCCAACGCGAGGGAACTGTCTTCTTTCCACTTTAAATATGTGAGAGAGAGCGTGTTCGACTGTGCGTCTCATGACAGGGTTGGTTCCCTCTGGGGACGCCCGTGGGTTGGTAAGAAGGGAGACAAAACCCACAGCAGAGACTGGACACAAGGGTAAATTTGTTACCGTTGTACCATTACCACCCGATGAACCCTGGCTGGCTGAATGTAGGGGGTGCAACATGTTCCCTGCCCCGAAAGCCCTGCCCCAAGATCGGAGGCTTGGCTGCCAGCATCCCCGTTGGCATTCAGGTCCCGAGGCCCCAGAGGAGACCCGGTGCAACTAGCCTGAGCCTTGAGGGGGGTCCCTGGAAGAGACGTGTTTGAATGCAAACTATGCTTTCGGGGGGGGCCACAGTGGAGACAGCTCGCTCCGACTGCGTCTGATCTACCCGGCCTGCCAGGGACGCAACTTGCCCCGACAGTCCTTCGACCAAAGCCCTCATCTCGGAGGCCAACCCGGCGCCGTGCGAGGAAAGATTCACAAAGGGACCCGCAACGAGCCCCATATGAGGAAAGACCTCCAGGGGCACAGCCTCGCTGTACCCGGTAAAATCGGGGAAAACCACCACCTAAAAAAACACAGACTGTGATGATGCCCTCGGATCAGTGGGGGAGACCAAGAAAAAATATCGGTAACTCCACCATCGGGCCTCCTACTCACCGTCTCTGTACACGAAGTACCGGTAGCCGAGCGCGAGGACATTCCACTCATGCCAAACTTGCAACTCACTGTAACTGATTTTCTTACTGGACACGCAACCATGCTGTGAAAAATATGAGCAACGCGGTCAGTCTCAGTGATTTTGATGGTTCTGAAAAAATATCTCAGGCCTCAGAACTCCAGTGAAAAAACACGCGCCTTAAAGGCAAAACCCCCGAACCCTGCATGTAGCTACGCAAAAAGCATTTCGAATGCGGGTTTTATGCTGGTAAATTCTGAATGTAACTACTGCACAGTCGACTCAAAAACAAGGAGGCCAATAAACAGCAGCGAGCCCTGGTGCTGTCATTACATCTATTCATTTCTAAATACGTAGATCAAGCATAAAATGAGAAACCTAGAAACCCGGACAGGAAAAAGCAAGCGATCCAGGCAGAGCTCACTAGACTTCATCTCGATGCGGAGAAAAAATCAGAGTGAATATCCAGCCGTAATGGCGTCGCCATATGGGCTCGGTCATGTGGTTCGTGACGTAAGGTTTTCCCTTGGGGTCTTGGGTCTTGCCCTGACCTAGATTCTATCTCTCCGTCATTGGCAGATTCGCTGATTAATGCCTACAGTTCAAAATAGTCATTTTGACTGACCGGAGTCTATGGTGGGTAATTAACGTAGTGAATTTACATAATCTTGATCAAAGGTGACTAACAAACTAGTATCGTTTCATATTTGAACATTCAGAAGCAATACAAATGCTTGATATTTGCCGAGTAAAAGTTCCATTGGTGACAAGAGAGCAAATAAAATGAGTGGATACTGGAACTTATTGGGAACTATCAGACCCCACTGTGTTGGGTTTGGAGCACTGCCTTGTCAGGCTATGTTTGTAGTTGAATGTGTAATAATAGTTTGTAAGTAAGTATATTTCTTCACTAGTATTAGTCCGCATATTTGGCCATCGCCTCACTACTTCGATGAGTATTCTTGCTTACAGTAAGCCAAATCTTGCGTTTCTGACAGTAGTATAATTTGCTATTAAATTTCAACATGTGTTGGTGTTATCGTTTTCCCATATAGGATTGACGTCCCTGATGTCTGTAATTAAATATCTGATAATGGTTTTGCAATCAATGTACGTGTAACTAATTTGCATACATTTTGTTTGTATCCCACCACTGTATTTACATATGCATTGAAACACCAGATGTGATTGTGTACTGCTTAAAAGTATATATGCATAATAATAAGCCAATTTGCATAAACTGAACATTCAAAAGATTACATCTTTTTTTTTACCTCCTGTGTGTTGTACATGAATCAAAGGGCCAATTTCAAATTCATGAGAACATGCTAGATTATTGGGTGCACAACTTATATTAGTTTGCTACCATTAAACAAGCAACCTGGCAGTCCTACAAGAACATTGTGGTAGCCTTGTCGAGCAACACACACCCATAATACCTTTTGAAAACTAACAGCTCAATTTGATACCAAGTAATATATATACATAATATACTTTGTGAGTAGCTTATTTACATAATGTAGCATATGAGTAGCTCATTTACATAATGTGCACTGTGAGTAGCTTATTTACATAATGTAGCATATGAGTCGCTCATTTACATAATGTGCACTGTGAGTAGCTTATTTACATAATGTAGCATATGAGTAGCTCATTTACAAAAAATGACAAATATATTTGCCAAAAATAGAGAATTTACATTGGTTCCTATGGCAGAAACATTGCATCATATCTCAAAATTCTGTTTAGTGACCTGTGCTTTTAAGATTATATGTAGTGTTATGAGGGCTACCGATGGCTGTCACACAAAAAAATGGAGAATTTTCAATATTAGTATTATCAAAAAGTTATCCTTAATAATGTATGTGAATGGATTCCTAGAGGAAATTACACAGGTTTGACTGTACTTAAAAAACTTACTCGCTGGCATTCATGATGTTATCATTCTTTTTATAAAACAGTGACCCAAGTCTTTTTGTTTGAGCATTTTATGGTGCTCCAGTGAACACAATACTGCAATCACATTTTCCTAATAAATTATTACAAATAAGTGAAAGTAAATCACGATACACAATCACTGTATTCTCTTTTCACTGAAAGTAGATAGCAGTTTATACAACACATACTGTCCTTGTGACAACAATCTGCCACATTTCACATCCAGAAAATACAAAAATCTACCTCTAATCTAATCCCTGGTTGCATACTGTTAACAGAATGTTCGTCCCACAAAATTACGGCACATAGTAATGTTTCAAACAGATCAGACAACATTCACCCAAGTACTGTGTTAGCACAAACAAAAAGCCAATACTAGGCAAGGCTTCTAATTTTTCATTGTGTACCAATCAAATTTAACACTACTTAATATGGTACTGCACATATATGCAGTGCATTATGGGAGAGATCTTTCCATTGTATATAATTGACAACTATAATCATCCTAAAAACGGCCAGAATTTTATGTAAATTCCATGAAATGTTGTAACGATATTTGCTCTACTAGTAGCTTGTGTTTGTAAACTGCAGGTGTTTCTATGGTCAAAATAAGTAATATTATTATTCACGATACAACAACTTGTATTTGGTTTATATGCACTTCTATTGGAGATACACTTCTAATAGAATGAATACAGTATTAGGATAGGATTTTTAATCTCATGTTATCAAGCAAAATTTGAGGAAATTTTTCAATTTCTCTATAAAAAAACAGTGTAAAATGCCAATGTTGACCACATTCTATGACATTTCAGACACCACTAAAATTATTGTAACTGCTATAAAAGATAAAGCTCAGGACACTGTCTGGTTAATTTTAGAAATAGAACTAACACTACGCCTTGCATGGTGGAGCCCGTCAACGAGAGCGAAGATCACTTTTGTTGAGTTCAAAAGCATCACAAGCGATAACGTTATCTGACCGCATCTCTACATCTATGATAAACCAACAGAGATGCAAGTCCATAAAAAAAACCAGACAATTGTAATGAAATGTTCATCAACAAAAAAACTAATCTTTTCTACAAATGACCTACTTTTTCTATTATTTATGAAAACTGGATTTTTCCCATGTATTTAATACTTAACCCTAAGGACTTTTCAGTAGAAAAAAATCTACCCAACTGCAGTTTGATAGTTTACAAATTTGCACCCTGTAATCATTAACAAATCTTGTCACAAATCATATAGGTTGCAATTTCTCCTGACAGTGTTGAGAATATTTCAGCGACACTGCACAGAATCCACCAATGCGTATATTTGCGGTGAATACTACATCAGTAAACTGGTCCATCATCCAACGCATCATCCTCATCAAGGCCAAAATCTTCACCATTATCGAAGTAAGTTGCATTATAATCAGTTCCCTAGAAAGAAAAAACAAACAAAAATATTTCTTAGATTTTAACAAAAATAAGTTGTTAGCAAGAGCATGGCATTCCATGGCAAGAATGAGTATTAAAGTGAGTGAATCGGGAAAGCATATAACAGTATGGGGTGTTTGATGCATATTTATATTTTAAAGCATTCAAAAAGTTGTGCTTCTATTATTCCTAAACATTTCATTTTTTTAAAAATTCTAATAAATACCTTAAAAAATATCTTGCACGCACATTTGTGGTAGGTTCTCAATAGAATAAGCATTTGGGGGAAAACATTTATGAAGGATGGCAAAAGCAATATGTGACAGGCAAGTGAAAGTATGGTAAGAGGAGAAAGTCTTTTTATACCTCTTCTTCATCTATCTCATCATAGTATTCTTCTTCTTCTTCCTCCCCTTCTTTTTCTTCTTCATTTTCTTCAACAGTTTGTGACTCTTCTTTGTGTTCCAAGTTCTAATGACAAGATATTTGGAAGATGCAACTGAATCTCCAGATTGAAAAATGTTCAAAAATCAAATCATTTGATACAGTGGTACAATATCTGGATATTGTTTTGTTTTTGTAAACTTTTGTTTAGAAATTTTTATTTTTTAAAAGAAAAGTTGTTGCTATTCAGCCATATAGTATAAGCAAAAGGAATTACATATCCAAAAATATTAATAAAAGAACAAAACTGTACTCCATTTTCAAAACATTTCTCTGTACCACCACAGAGGTCACACACATAATACATGACAAGCTTGATGGCACATCATAAGTTGAAAAGTACTACTTCAACATTATTCAGCTTACATGGTTTATTGACACTGTACTGCAAGCTGCCCGACAGGACTTGCCCAACTCACCTCAACACGTCCAGTTATGAGAAGACGTAACAGTGTCTATTAATGTGCATGTTTTCGTCGATGGAGTAAGATTTTTTCAGATTTGTAGATTTAAATGTCTGGAGTCATGGATGTGATGAAATGTGACAAGTCTATTATGTGTATGATAGTTACTGTGTTATACTGGTCATGACACTTTTATCCAATAAAGTAACAGCTTGAAAGCACACGACTTAATCAGGGGTATTCTGAATGGCTAAGAAAGAAGACTGAAAAATGTTTTCAAACTTCACTTTTGCACTAAAATATTATACTCAAAAAGATACTGAGCAAAACCAATTTCATCTTTGCATTGTAATCCATATAGGTATTAAAGCAAGTTTTATTTTACTTCACTGAGCACGGTATCAATCATGCCTTCGCCCGTCCCACAATCATTCGTAATTAATTAAATTTCCACATATTGTAAAAATTCAACACCTTTTGTAATAGAAAAATCATTTCAATGCTTACTCATAGAGAAAGTGTAATATATTGACTTGGGTTTGGGTTTGTGACTTAACGAAAACAGAACCAGTCCATAAGATTTAAAATGGTGGAACACTACAGTAGTACTGTTTATTTGCATTGAACTCTGGGTAAATTAGAGCAATGACATATTCATAGTCGAATAGCACCTTCAAAACATTTCAGAAAGTATATATGTGAGTGCACCCAGACTGTTAGGTCAGATTTGGTACCAAATAGGGTTGTTTTTATGTTCAGATCAGACAGACTCAGAGTAATACTTGGTACTAAGTAGAAATATTATGTTTTGAAGAACTTTTGAAGAATAAAAAATAACCTTTTTTGGTCACACAACTTACAACTTTATTTACAAGACCAGGTTCAAAACCACCTATTCAGCAAGCGATGATGGATTTGTTAATTACAAAATATATCAATATTTATACCATTTTCAATTGATTGAAATGGCATTTAGGTCAGACACTTTTTATTCCTTGTTTCTCGAGTTTTTATAAGGCAATTTTTTTGAGGAGGGCGAAAAAATAAATAAAATTAATTCCTTTTTTCCATTAGATTTGTGTGATTCTCAAAGAACTGTAAGTGAGATCATTGATCGGAGAGAAGAAATGAAAAAAAATGTTATTCCATGTATAACCTTGTTTCTCATCTGCGCGAGACTTCGGTACTTTGATCATGATACTCCCACGAAAATGCATCTTGGATTTGTTTTGCGGCGGGTGGTGAAAAAATGAAGATAAAAATAATATTTTTTTAGCAATTTTTTGCGCTTACAAGTCGGCGGGCGCGAGAACTTACGCTGGAATATAATTTTATATTTATTTCATTTCCGGCTCCTGTTCATTCGGCGGGTTCGCGAAACAAGGGATAATAAAAGTCTGCCTTAGGAAGCAAAGTGTTCCACAGAACAATCAATTTGGGAGTTTGCATGTTAAAAGAAATTGGCAAGCTGGATGTATTCAGTCATAGCGGTGTGTGGCACATAGTCACGCAATATTCACTTGTAAAGACTGACACAACTAGACGTAGATTTTGTGTGTATTCAGATGGAATGTGTTTGGACATGTAGTGTGCTTGAAGAAGATTAGAATCTAGGAAGTTCTCTCACCTGTAGTTTCTTTTCTATTTCTTCATGCGATAGGGCCTTTGTCTTCCTGCTTATTGGAAGAGTTGGATTCACAGCCGCTCCTGGAAGTTAAAAAAACCCAAAAAACAATACATTTTAAGATTTAACTTGTAGATTACCAAGTCGTTGCAATTACGGGAAACGTTGTTCATGATATGGCGAAAAAGCAAGATTTCATTGAAATGTAATGATTAGTACTTGAGATATAAGAGGAAAAGTCAAATGAGTAATCATTATGCAGATTAGATAATTAACATGCATGTATTTTACACCAAACTAAACAAGTTTGTCCCCATAGCATCTATGTACCAAGTTTCATCAATAATTGGATAATTATCACGCAAATTAGGTAATTAATATGCACAGATTTCAAAAGTCAAAAACTAATCAAATCTGCACAACAGTACAGATCATCTATGTACTAAGTTTCATTGAAATCCAATGAGTAATTCTTATGTAGAACTTTGCGCGAACAGGGGCTAAATAATGAGTGTGGTTTTACTAGACTTTTTTGGTTTAAACATTAAAATGACCTGCACCATATAAAACAACACTATCGGTATATCGATCAAATTGAGAAACACGAGAAACAAGTCACTGACATGACAGAGTCCCCCTTAATGAAATGAGATAAAGTCTGAATTCTGGAAGTTACAAATTAGTTGTAGTTGTGTAATTGACAGAATTGTGACAATAACAATTTGTTCTAGTAAGTAATCTTAAATCCCTGATGTAGTTTGTATTGTTAAAATTTAAATGACAATTAGCCTTAGCGTGTTCAAGACAAGGATCCAGAACAGCATTTTCGAGAAGGAAACAGCCACCAGTCATCTACTGACAGTGAATTTAATAATGTGGTTCCTCCATCTCTTAAATAATGACACTCACTTGATTTGTGTAACCTTCTCACTCGTATTTTCAGCTCTTGCGGCAAACGTTCCCAGTCTGGCTGGAAACCAATGATACTGTCAGAATTCCGATTCATCTGATATTTATCCGAATAACGTTCAATATCTGTAAACATCAGCAGGTGATCAGTGATGGCTTTAATGAAGAGTATGAACTTATATGACGGTACATTCATTTATTTTAACTTCTTTCATGGAACAGGTAAACAATGATCAGTGAAAAGAATTTTTCAATAAAGTTGTTCACATATAGTTACTGGGAAGTAACAGTCGCATTTCATGTCAAACATTCCTACACACCTTGTATATATTGTGTGGGACCCATATCGAAACTTGATCTGGTGCACTTACTGTTGTATGTGTTCAAATTTCATGTGAATAAACAATGTATTTTACACGTGTTGTATACGTTGCTATGAGTCTCATATCGAACAGAACGCGGAGTGATGACTGCCACCCTTTAAATTTACTCTAAATTATACATTTATTAGTCCTAAATGTGAGTTAAAGAATTGAAGAAGTGACTTCACCTTTAGTGAGAAATAAACATGTAAGGACAATTTTGAAGTTTAAAAGAAAACTTCTCACCTTTTTTCTTGGAATCTGCTTTAATGTAATGTGGCGAATCCTTCATTGTGCCTCTGTATTCTTGTTTCAACGCTAGCATATAGTCATGATCTTCACCACTCAACAGCGGAACTGGTTTGAATTGTAGAGGCTGTTGAAGAAAATAAGTAGAACAATTTACAAGTGGTTCTCATTTCAAAGAGAACATTATTAGTAATGTACTAATGTAATACGGTACATGTACTGACTTTGTAATTGTTTGTTTGTGGTGAAATAAATTCAATTAAAGTCAATACCATACAGTGTGCCCTCGAATAGGACTGATTTTGTAGGAAACTCAAGTCACGATGCAATCCATCAAAATCTAGTTGAGTCAGCTTGTTTTGTTGCTTTGGGGAGGGGGTCATCAGGAAACTGGAGGCACATGGTGAGGCCGTTGATTTTTTTGTTTTTAAAACGTGAATCACTATACCAATGTATGATTTTCTGTTACAGCAACAATTTGTCAGTGAATTAGCACAACTAGTTGCGTTACACCAAATTGTGTGCTTGTCATACCTGCTTAGAGGACACTAGAGGGCACACTGCTACCATGATAGCTCCCAACAAATGAAATATCAAAGTGTTTTAAATACCATATTTACTCTAGTTGGAAACAGAACTCTAATAGATTAATAGAAGTGCGTGTAAACAGTTGCATTTTTTGTATTACTGGATCATTCAAATATGACTTATTTTAACCATAGACATCTGTCATTTATGTAAACGCTACTAATAGAGCAAATATGGTAAAGTTTATTTATTATTTACAATGTACATGTTGCATGGGACTCACAGTGTGTTGTGCAACTGTGGTACTGTCATTACTAGTATTGACTCTAGTAGTGTAATAAAGTTATTATTATTAAAAGTAGTAGTAGTAGTAATAGTAAGTAAATAATTGAAGGAGTTTTAAAATAACCTATTTATATTTTTACTTTAACATATCAAAATTAAAAGCCCTATTCACTGATTGTGTTTTTCAAAGAGGCCTTAGTATGTGGAGTAGCATTTTAACCACTCACCTCCATGTGTTGATGTATGCAATCAATCTTTACAATGTCTAAATTTACAAAGATGATTTATTCGACCTAATGTAATTTTGGTAAATTTGACTGAAACCATAAATGCATACTCCCAGTATTAGCCCTCAGGGCTCCCCTCTCCCACAAGTCAGTGCTCCCTGGCACAGCACAGGGAGTTGGAATAACTTGTATTAATTTTGAAATAAAGAATTTAAAATAATTCCCTTGTAATGTTCTTTTAACTTCCTCTATTTTGTTATCAGCAAATCTTTATTAATTCTTTATTAAAAATTAACTGTGGTATCGGACAAGACATCTTACAAGACACTGGACAACACATGGTTAGACGAACATTTTCTATTTCAGACGCTATTGTCACATAAAATAATTCAATGCAATATACATGTAATGAGAAAATTATGGAAATGACTTACTGGAAATAAGGGCGGGGGCTGAAGCGTTGGAGGGGGCAAATCACCCCTTCCTATACCCAAAGCCTCTGCGGCAACTGCCAGCGCCCCACGACCTCTACCACGCCCTCTTCCAGCCATTAATCAGACTATCTTCATCCGGGTCTGCATATAATATAATAATTGCAGGGAAATTTCATTTGTTTACATCATGCATCTGGCATACGAAAACATATAGCGCCGAGGATCTCCAAAACTTGTTCAACGACAGCGCCACTAACGTTGAATGGATTTGTTGATTAGAGTATAGGGGTGTGGTGTAAGAGAAAGTCTTCCTTCACAAAAGAGATATACATTGCATTATCTTAATGTCACATTTATTCAATAATAATAATATTTGACTCTTAAGGAAAGCATGTTCATTAGAAAGAGAAATCAGAATGAGCCAAGCGTTCTTCAACTTGTATACCCATGACCCCTCTCAAAAATGATCACATTATTTTCCATCCTCGTGCGAACTGTTTTATAATCAAACACAGGAGAACTATACAAGAGCATTCATAATGGTAGAACAATAATATATCAGGTGAAAAAAAAAGTAGTTTCCAACACACTGCTGTACAATTATGTAAGTTCATTGTTGAAAGAGGATTTTTTGAATTGCTCAAATATTATTAAAATTGTTAGTATGGCATGGTAACCTTTGACCGTTGGGCTGAGAAATCTAAAATGGCGACAGGTTTTGTTGTTGTGTGAGGAGACGAAATCTGGCGAAAAAAACCTTTACACATATAAGAAACAACACCAATGTATATATTTTTACATTGCAAGCATCAAACTACAACCTCTTCACCATCCTGTCGAGTGTATGTACAACGGTTCAACCACTGGTGTTTGTATTTATTTAATTTTACATCTACGTGCATGACATAATTTTTTGCGGGCGAAGAGAGGACACGCACGGGGTTTTCCAATATATATTTGTATCGTGTTTGTTTTTGTGTGTAAAAGAGGACATTTAAAATGCCGACACATTTTAGACACAGTTACCGTTCGGCGAAATATGTGCTGTCTGGATTGAAGGCAACTACGAATACAGGTAAGTCGATAGTCTAATTTAATTAATATGCGTCATTGACATTCGGACGAGTCCCACACGCTATGAAATGTTGTTTGCGTTTCGAATTTGCATATAACAGACTTAAACATTGAGCATACTAAATGAATGGTCGCGTTATTGTGGTATTATCGGTCACTTAAAACAATATTGAAACTGTTATTAGAAAACCAAAAAAATGTATCCCGCAAAAATAGTGATTACGTGCATCAGTAAAATATTAAAACATCGCATTGATTTCCCAGTGTATCCAATTAAAGCCTTGTATAAAAGCGCAGTTATGAATCTTATTATCTCTTCTCGATGATTTTTAACCCGTTCAATGTTTTTTAAATCGACTGAAGGCCTTGAAAACATAATTGAAACCGAACAATACACTTCTAATAATAGATCTTTTAGCAGTTTTAAGGTTACTGTATGTTCACAGTGTCGAAATTGAATTTTCCATGATTACAGTTTTTCTTCTGGAACTGTATATTGATGTTCCTCTAAAAGCCATGATTTAATAATCTGTGTTTTACTTTAATTTAGTCTGTATACATACTCTGATACTGATTTGCATATTCATTTTTTGTGTGACAAGTTTATACTTAGATAAGGAAATTCTAAAAAAATATATTTTATGGATGAGAACCAGGTTTGTGGCGTATTTTTGAACATTTGTTTTTTTTTTTTGCATATTTTCCAATGTTGCAAGGTTGTCTTCACACTAGTAAAACAAAATAGTTAATTTTGTACTTAGAAAAGTGCTAAATATTAATAAAAATGCGACGATAAACAGATACGCGTGTCATTGTTTTTCTATGGGCTTAACGACGAGGCTAATTAAAATAGATTGACAGAGGATTATTTAAATCACTGCCTCCTTCTCGTTCTGCGCATGCTCCACTCAGTCGTAACATCAACAACATGGCGCAGCCGATGCTAACATGTTTATATCGTAAAAAGTTCCTCAGGAGAAAACCTGGTCCGCCAAAAAAACCCAAAAAAACGCATGAATGCAGAGAAACAGTTTATAGAAATTATCTGATGCTGGTTCATATTACGACCAAGATGATTAGTTTATAACAATAGATGAGATGTCTGCAACTTCAGTATGTTTTCCCTAAGTCTGTTTGAGTGAAAAAACTCAAAAAAGCCTATTTACGAGAGAAACACGCATACACTTCACGCGTTCAAGAAAAAATAACTTTTTCACATAATACATACACAGAGCTAACTAAAAATATACAAGATGTAGGTGTTCAAATGCACACAAGCCTGGGTCTCATCCTTAATACAGGCTTTTCAAAACTGTTTTTTTTTGTTTTAAATTCTAGGTTCCATTACTTCTAGAAGCACTGGCCGACTATTCACAAAGTTTGGTCCAGTTGTGATTACCAAGCCACAAGCTTTCTGCTGTATAAGATACTTCAGTGCAACAAGTGTGTGTTCTAGTAATACAACAGATGGGACCACAAAAGGAGGGTCTGGGAAGAAGCCTCCCGGTACAGGCAAGGGTGGAAACAACAAATCAGGCCAACTCAGGTGTCCCAAGTGTGGTGACCCATGTACACATGTGGAGACCTTTGTTTGTAAGTCAATAATTTCTCTTTTTTGGGGGGATATATTTTTAATTATTTCATAGATGTGATCTCGTTTGAGAGTAAGACACAGACTTGTTTTTGTCCCTTTCCATTCTCTCTCGTAAATCTTGTCCACTGTTTTTAGCTCCGCTGTCGACTTTGTCGAGCGGAGCTTATCATATGAGTGATTGTCCGTCGTCGTCGTCCGTCGTCGTCGTCCGTGTCAATGTTTTACTTTTTCGACTTCTTCTTGAAAACTACAAGCCTGAATGCTTTGATACTTGGTGTATATGTACCTTGGGTAGACCTCTCTCAGATTTGTTCATTTCATGATGATATCTTCAATTCTCTAATTTTGGTGAATATTTTTGTCATTTTTAGTAAAAAGTGATATTTTCGACTTCTTGTTGAAAACCGCAAGTGCAATTGCTTTGATATTACATATATAGGAACTACATGTGGACCTCTCTCAGATTTGTTCATTTTGTAATGATATCTTTAATTCTCTAATTTTGGTGAATATTTTTGTCATTTTTGGTAAAAAGTGATATTTTCGACTTCTTGTTGAAACCGCAAGTCCAATTGCTTTGATATTACATATATAGGTACTACATGTGGACCTCTCTCAGATTTGTTCATTTTGTAATGATATCTTCTGTTCTTTAATTGCCATGTGCATTGCTAACAGCGGAGCTATCTCAGCCGACAGGCTGCTTGTTCTATCTATGTAACCATGTTGGACACAATGATGGTGAAAGTGGAATGCTAGATATGGGGGCAAAAATTAGTCGCATGGTTTACACAGTGTAATTGAAAAGAATACTATCACACTTGCTCTAGTTTGTACATGTATTAATTTATGGGCCTTCCCAGACTGGCCTTCCTACTCCCATAGTATCATCACGTCTGACATGTATGTAAATGAGTCTCTATGTAGTAGTTGAGCGTGGTGACTGAGCGTCTCAGTTTTCACGAAGATACGAGTTGAGCGTACGCTCACTTTCAAAAGTAAGCGTGGAGCCAAACAATGGAAAGCTTGAGTGTGTTCACTTTTAAAAGTAAGCGTGGGGACAAACTATGGAATTCTGGTGATGTAATGAAAGCTACGCTCAGTTTAACATGAAGTTAATACAAGTTCGTTTCAGAGGTTAAAGAATCCAATCTGGGTTCACATGAGCAGGACATTTGTTAAAACCAACGCAACGATATTTAATTAAATATTCACACAGTTTGAATCCTATGACTTTGTAAGATGGACGCATCTGGTAATGAGGGACTAAGCTCACTTTTACGTGTAATACATGAATAGTGGGCATGAGATGGAATGGAATGAGAAGTGCTCATGTCTGATTTCCATAAGTCGCCAGTGTATACATGAAGTTTTTGAGAGTACTATTTTGATAAATGCCGGGATCGCTACAATTATATTTAATAGTGATAAAGATGCAACTCTGGTGTTGGTTTTGTTTTGATTGTTTTCATTTGTCAGCGTCTGTAAACAACGCTCAGTGACAACGAATTATTGCACACACTTGCATGAGCCAAACAATGGAAAGCTTGAGTGCGCTCACTTTTAAAAATAAGAATGGGGACAAACCATGGAATGCTGGTGATGTAATGAAAGCTACGCTCAGTTTAACATGAAGTTGATACAAGTTCACATTCACATGAGAGGACATTTGTTAAAACAAAGCAACCATGTTTAATTAAATATTCACGCAGTTCGACCCATATGACCTTGTAAGAAGGATGCATCAAAAAGTCTTCCTCTATTCATCGTCTCAGCTTTCTAAAGATGCGAGTTGAGCGTACACCTACTTTCAAAATTGGGCATGGAGCCATACAATGGAATGCTTGAGATAGTTTACTTGAAGTCTTGTGGCCCAATTAACACCTCGACCGAGGTGTTACCACCTAATTGTTTATTGTGTAATCAGCGTCGTTTTACGTTACTGATGGATGAATGGAGATGTCTGTTTCTGTCGCTTGTAGACAACTAACCAGTAGAGTCCTAACAAATATGGGTGAGATGAGAAGCATTATATGTATCAATAAATTGCTTCCATGTCCGTTAGATAATTACGGCCAAGTAAATATCGAGTTTTCATTAAAATATCAGCGTACAAGTGACTGTGCATAGCTCTGATGTTTTGTCGCACGTTAAAGTATCTGCTTATTTGTTGTTATCACAGTGGGTGACGGCTGTGTTTTAAATTCAGACAAAGATCATCACGGCTATAGACAAAATCCCAGTGCCTTGTGATTGTTTTTTTATGCGAGGTTACAACAGGTAGAGTTGTTTTTAATTCCAGTCGAGGTCACCAACCCAGGATAACGTTTGGTGATCGACGCAATGTCCAACATTGAAAGCTAACGAACTATCCCCACCCCAGACCCTGTTGAGGGAAATGAACCGTTTCACAGTACCTTTTTAACAAATAGATTGATAATTGTCGTCACCATTTTGCTGCTGTTTTAGGTAGTGTTATTATATATTGTTTCGTCACATTGCTACATTTATTTTGTTATTGCATGTCATATTTAATAAAGGTAAGTATTAGTATATTTAACTGATGAAGATGGAAATACATGTTATCAAAAGTAAAATCGAGAAGGGGTGCAATTATGCGAAGTACTGTATGCATGGCGCCCAACTCGAGGTCTTAGAAAGAGAGCGTAAGCTCCCTTGTAGAAGTAGGCATGGGAAAAACAATGGAATTACAGATTGGGGAGTACATGCATGACTCATTACAAGAATCCAGAATTATTTTACGCACACTTTAGTAGCCATTGTATGCATAGTGTTTAAATGCCGGGGTCAACCACCGAATACATTATAGTAATTTAATAGATGCAACTAGATGCTACGCTGACTTTAGTTTTGTCACGGTTGTTTTATATTTGTCGTATGTCGGCATCTATCACGACGCTCAATGATTATACAACAGTTTTCAAACGTATTTTCAACGTTACAGAGAAGCAACGTAAAGCAAAGTATCAGAAAAGCAGCATATGTGTATATGGCCACCAATGTAGTCTCGATCAAATGTGTATTTTATGTGTAAATTTATATTTTCATGAGAGTCAGCCAATCAAAGCCAAATGATTCATAACTGTACGATCACGAAATGATTCACGCACAATGCATAAATGTCGCGTCGTGCAACTTTGCACTACCATTGCTGTAGTGTAAATCTATGAAGGTTGATCTGAACGAATGAGCAAAATGGGAATGTACATTTCTTTAATAAAACGTCATTCTTGTATGTGTGCAAACTTTCACTTCATGCAAGTGTGCGCAACAACTTGTTGTCACTGAGCATTGTTTACAGACGCCGACAAATGAAAACACTCAAGACAAAACATACGTCAGGGTTGCATCTTTATTACTATTAAATATAATTGTGGATGATCTCTGCATTTATCTTGCGTAAATCAAAATAGTACTCTCAAAAACTTCATGTATACACTGGCGACATATGGAAATCAGACAGATGCACTTCTCATTCCATTGTTGGTCCCATGCCTACTATTACACGTAAAAGTGAGCGTAGTCCCTCATTACCAGACGCGTCCATCTTACTAGGTCATAGAGTTCAAACTGCGTGAATATTAATTAAATATGGTTGCGTCAGTTTTAACAAACATCCTGCTCATGTGAATCCAGATTGGATTCTTTAACTTAAGTTAGACTTCTGAAACGAACTTGTATCGACTTCATGTTAAACTGAGCATAGCTTTCATTACATTACCAGTATTCCATGGGTTGTCCCCACGCTTACTTGTGAGTGTGAGTGTACTCAATCTTTCCATTTTTTGGCTCCACGCTTACTTTTCAAAGTGAGCGTACGCTCAACTCGTATATTCGTGAAAACTGAGACGCTCAGTTACCGCGCTCAACTACCACATAGAGACTCATTTACATACCTCAGTCTGACTGATGAGAACAGTAAATAGAAATGTGATACAGTCCATCAGCAACGCATCATACACCAAGTTTCACTTGTTTGTAGCTCTTCTAATTCATGAAATGGGTGGTCTTTTGAATAATGTGCTATTGTTAATGTTTGTCATTTCAGCATCCACAAGGTTTGTGAAATGTGAAAAATGCCACCATTTCTTTGTTGTGTTATCGGAAACTGATAGCAAAAAGAGCATGAAAGAAAACCAAGCACATCAACAACAAAGACCTGATCGGCTTCCTCCTCCTCCCCCGAAGAAAGTGAGTATTGATCACATGTACACAAACGTGCCTGTTAAAATAATTAGCATAATGACCCAGTTTGAGTTTGGTATGCTTCAAAATGACACCAAAAAGCAATATTTTTGGTTCACAGGCACCTCTAATAGAGTAAATGCAGATTCTATACATAGCTAGGTTAAAGAGCAATGGTCGTCACGCTCATACTCAAACTGAGACCTTACCAAGTTTTAACTAGGACGGAATCACCTGCGGTAATTACCGTAAAAACCCTCAAATAAGAGCCACTTTGTAACACTTTCATTTCTGGGTGGTGCTTATTTGAGGTAACATGTTGACAACTTTGTAGCCAGTGGCTCTTAAACCAGGGTCATCAAACTTGTT